TTCTTGATATCGGGTTGGTTCATAATATTGAGATTTTGAGGTTGAAGCAAATGATAATTGAGAGAGTTTTTAACTGTGTTGGAATAAACAAATAAGAAAAGTTAGTTGATTTTGAAATTTTACGTGGGAAGTGTTGGGTTTTTACTTGTTAACTAAAAGAGTAGTTGTCTTTTAGATAAAAATGGTTTTTTGTAATTGTAATGTTTACTTAAGGGTATATTTGTCTTTTACAATTCAAAAGACCATTGTAAAAATATACAATTGTTGAAAATTTAAAGTGGAAATTAGGGGGTTTGACCATTTAAAAGCACCCCCAGTTCTGCCCTAGTTTCTGAAAAGTCCTGTTTCATACACAATCTTAATTCGGTAACTAAAGCCCTGAGTAACTGAGTTCTGCCTCAAGGCTATTGTATTCACTATAATAATCATAATATGCGAACATGATGAAGCCCTAATGATCCCTTGTTAAAGCCCTCCTGCTGCCGTGTTTGTTGTCTACGTTATCGGTGCGTCTCTCCAAAAGAATATATCTAGTTGCCTGTCTGCATTAGCATATAAGTATAAAGCTCAAACTTTTTCTCAATATGGTAATTCCCTCCCTGTATGCATAGGTTAATATTTGTGCAAGCATGCAATATTATTTCAGGAGCTATCATACTTTTTTGAAAAGCACTGGATTGGAATTGTTTACTGTTGGTAACAGTAGTTAACAATTTTACTTATCTTCCTGGCTACGCGGTTTGCACTTTTTACTTATCTTTTTTCAATAACTTTCAATAACGGATCGAACAGGAAGACAAACGGTCCGTTTTCTTTTACGGGTTAATCTATTTGTACATAATGGTTTGTACATAATGGATTACCCTCTCTTACAAAATGGCCCGTGTGTATTTAAAAATTCCGACAATGTGGCTCCCATCCCCATTGTGAGTAGTAGGTAAAAGATTCGGTAAAAAAATTTGGTACATGTTGCATGATCCATGAGGGGTGTTGCTTGGCTGCTGCAAAAATTCCAACTTGGCAAACCAGTTATGACTGAAGCTTAATTTTATTTATAACATTCCAAAAGTTGTTAGATGGAGCAGATATCAACTGTACAGGAAGTTGGTCAAAGAATCGTTAGACGATTGAATTATTTGTGCTGCACATATGTTCATGATTCAAATTAAGGTTGATATGTTTTAGAATAATAATAATAATAATAATAATAATAATAATAACAATAATAATAATAATAATAATAATAATCTGTAATCTAGAGTACACGCTGATAGCAAAATACATACTTGTTTTTTGATATTCCTAGTACAAGATAACACGTTTAAAAACGAACTAAGAAACCCACAGGATTTTATTAACGTCTCAACAAGCATCCCTTGTATATACCATAATCTTAACAAAATTTGGATGAAGATCTGAAAAACCTTAGCTGGTGAATCCCATCTCGTATATGGCCGAGCTTATTGAGATGTCCTTTTAGTCTAGTATACTGCAACTTCCAAAGATGTTTCTAGTGATTTTCCAGTATTCATCTCTCTTTGCTTTGATTTTTCATTAGAAGCTGACCATTTCATTTGCATGAAGCTCCTCTTTCTCCAGGGACCCATATGAACTTTTTTCTCTGTAGTCGATCTCTTGGCTGCATCACAAACTACATGAACTATAGCATTCAAATGTTCGGGTTTTCCTATATATATCTTTGGCAGTTGATTTATCAATGCACAATACTCATCGCATGCTTTTGCCATCATAAATTCATCCTGGAATCCTATTTCTATCAGTAATGGAATCTGCTTCTTTCTCCCTTCTGTGCTTGCAATCACTTCAATGTATTCATGCATCCCTGGAAAATAGTTCAGCTTCAGTTTCATACATGAACCATTGCTTGTGAATTGACTAACATTGGTGTTAGATTAGATTGTTTGAGTGTGCAGACAGGGTTTTTGATTAGGATCTCTTTTGCACGGATATTTCAATTAGGGTACTATGTTCGTGTTGGGACGCTTTTTGGATATTGATTCGGACACTCTACCATAATCACTTTTTTTTAAAAATATATTATATATTTTAACTCAAAATTATTAGTAAATAATAAATATATATTTATATTTAAAAGATTTCAATAAGAACAAGAAAAATTAATAAAGAGTATAAAACTAAATTTATGCTTTACAAATGAATAATTTTAAAAAATTTAATCAACGTGTCAGCGATGTGTTGTATCATTACTTTTTTTGAAAAATCGTGTGTCGAACACACGTGTCCGTGTTGATGCATCGTAGATTAGGATCACTGCTTATGAACTGCATTAGGCAAGAGTGAAATGGTGTTGGAACTTCATTATTCAAGACATGGGTTTGTCTTTTTCGATGGTTAGTTTACTCTAATGACAAAAAATGAATGAAAAAAGGCATTACCTCCTGGTATTTTGGGCGTTCTACTCCATTTTGATGTACATAGTTTTGCATTGAACCCTTTGTTGCATAGTTGATTGACTAATCTTCGACGTAAGCAGTTGGAGCAGCCAGTGAGTTTAGGATTGGGGCAATCACAAAAATTAGAGTCTGTTGCCATTTCGACATGTCTGTTAATTTCTTTTCTGAACTTTACACCACTTGAACTGTAGCGCTCCAATATTTCCTGAAGAAAAATTTTTCTTACCTTTAGAGAGTTGCTACAAAAATCTTCAAGAACTTGGAAATATGAGAAAGAGTAATGCTATTTGTACGTAATGATGACATGGAAGAGAGACGGAAAGAAAATAAATTCAGTTATTACGATCTTTCCCTCTCTTTCACGTCATCATTATTTACAAATAGCATTATTCAGAAAGAAGTTATTGAACGTTTGAAGATAATCAATCGTACTCTCAAAACAAAGAGATGGGACGTGGGAGAAATTTTTTTTTTGACAAAATATTGAACGTTTGAAGCTAATCAAACGTAGTCTCAAAATAAAGAGATTGGGACATGGACATGGACGAAAAAATATTTTGACAAATCCTAAATTTGAGAAAAGCTCATAGTTGAATTTAAAATATCATGCATGGACAGGACAAATAATTAGTTGGAATCTTAAATGTGTGTGTTTTCTTTTTCTTGTATTTTCCACAAAAATATCAATGTCCTTTTCCTTTACCTTCCAAATGCACTATTAAAATCGTTAGAATAAAAATAGTATAGAAGCTACATATTTTGATTATGAGTGGACACAAAAATTCCATGAGATGTGTGGCATAAATTGTAACTCATATCCAAGATTTTCTGCGCAATTTCAAATGCAAATGGCACTCTAAATTAATCATTTAAAAAATAGATTTCTCGTGTAACTTTTGTGGGGAGGAAAGGAATCCCAAGAACAAAGATATTCAATCGAGATTCTAGGACAATTTCATATATGGAATCTCTTGATATTAAAATAGCTTATATGGTCGAGATTCTTGGATAATTTTCATAGGACTTTTTTTGTGAAAAAAAGAAAAGAAAAGAAAGCATGAATATAGCTAAAGAAATGCTGCAGCAAACTCTGGTAAATTAATATTTGAAGGTTTTAGGAATCAGAAAATGAAATTAATATCCCGTTAATTCCTTTCATTTCTTTCTCAAATAAAAAAAAAACACAGTTCATACAGAACATATATACCTGAAGCAGGGATTCTTGTGATTCCCAGTAAATTGTTCGTTCAGCTACGTCTTGAGGTTCGTTTGTAACAACTTCATCGTCAACGATATCCTCGTCCTCCTCATCGTCGTCGTCGTCGTCCAATGCATGATTCAAGAAACTGCAATCTTTTTCATCAGAATTTTTTTCTTGATAATCAAAAGCACAAATTTGGTCATGAAAGCCGGTCAAGAATTTAGGATCTTTTATCAGAGGCTTCCTTAGATGAAGAATATTATAACCAACCATGATTTTTTGGGCAAGAGATGTATCAATGGATGGATGAAGGAAGGGAGGAGAAATGAAAAGACTGAAATGTGAGAACCACGAGGGCCTTAGGAGGAACTGGCTTTTCCTCTCTCTCTCTCTCTCTCTCTCACTCTCACATTAGAAATATTAAATACACGCACACATTTACGATGTAATTGGACAAATTGCATTATTGGTCTCCAACATATTGTTTCATAAGTCAGTTGTTGGTCCTCCACTTTTTATTATAGTTGCACAATTAATCCTAATGATGAAATTCGAACTTTGTTAAATCATCGTGTTATACCCACATGTCCAGCTTTATTAAGGACCCGTTTAGCATAATTTTTGAGAAGTCAAAAGGAGTTTTTGAAACTCAAAGTCGATTTTGGGCCCTTTCGATTAATTTTATGAAAGTGTTTTTTTTTTAATTAAAAGAGTTTTTAGAGGAAATTGGTCCAATGTAATTTTCTCTAAAAACATTTCTGAAATATGAAACTGCTCTTTAGAATTAGTTTTCAAACAAAAAGTAAGGTAATTTTTTTAAAAAAACTCTTCTACAAGAAGCAAAAACAAAAACAAAAATCATATCAAACATCATGCCCTAAGTGAGTTTTTGCATCTCGAATTGGACTAGTTCTAAGAATTTTGATTTTATGAGGGACACAACAATTTATCGAAGGATTTAGATAGTTTTCATTTTAAAGACTGAATATGCAACGACCTATCATGAAACCTTGACGATCAATTTGCTCTTTTTAAAAATGTTAAGAATAAGGGATAGTTCGTTAGGGGCCAATTTATTATTAGGAAAATAGGTTTGGGGCCAATTTTGCAATTGTTTAATTGTACAAACAGTGCTACCTCAGAATCAGTCATTTCTGGAAGGGCACTGATAAAATTAGAAAGGTCATAAATATATGCGAAAACTCCGGAATTTATTGACTAAATTTTTGTTTTTACTTTTACTATGAATGATGTTCAAATTTTAAAATCTTAAAAAAGGAATAAATGAAGGTGAAAAAGTGGACAAGGGGAGCAAATATTCGAACGTTTTTTAAAGTTTGGTATAAAAACTCTTAATAGTCATCAAACTTTCAAAATTGCTTTCCTTCAATCATCAAGCTTTTTTCAGTTTAGGTGGTAACATAAACACTTAGTATATGTTCGTAAATTTAATAGTATTTGAGGTGTCTAATAATGTTTTTTATGTGAACGACGAACTTGATAGTACAACATTAATAAGCTAAACAATGTCACTTCTACACTTGATTTTATTTTAATATTACTCATTAAAATTTTCATTGTAACAATTAGTTTTTTGCTCAACGCGGAACATGAATCAGGATGCAAATTTGTTATTTTTTCAACCATGTTGTCACGTGAAGCTTCGCCAAATGTGTTAAACCGGCATATGGAAATGTGTGATCAATAACCAAATTGAAATTACTTTGTATGTTCGTTGATCATCAATCCTATAAAATTAGACGATTATAGCATTTCATTTGAAAGTTTTGTGATCAACAGAAGTTTTAAACTTCCAAAATTCCAATGAGTCTTATTTTTTATGTTGTTAGTCATTACTTGTAGAAAATCAATTTTTCTTAATTATTAAAAAAATTCTTATTTTGTCAATTATAATGAATGTCACAATAAGTAAGAAATTCAAAATGAATACTTATTTTGTCTATTATAATGAGTATCACATTAAGTAAGAAATTCAAAATAAATTTGACTAATAAATCATTACTAATTCGAGAGAAAAGGGTTTTCCATGTTTTTCAAAATTGATATATCACGCCTTTCTTGTTCATTTATTCAAGAGCTCCCTAGACTTTAATATAGGGTGAAAAATCCATCGAACTACTCACGGGCTTGGCTCGTTTTGAGATAAGTCATAGGCCTATTCTAGTCTAATCGAGTTGAGTTCACTTTCTTCATGAGCCAACTCTTGGGCACAGGCCTATGAACCAACTCTTGTTTGCTCGTTTTATTAATTTCTTAAAACAAAAAATAAGACGGTTCGTAGACAGCTCAACTTAGCCCATGAATCCTACGAACTAAAGGGTTGAATCGAGCTTAAATTTGGACTCTAGCCAAGCTCGACTCCTCCGTAAGGACAAATCTAGCTCAGGTGTCTAAAGGTTGGGCCAAGCCCATATGGCTGTGATTGAATATCTTCAATAATTACACTATTTGGTAGGATTTTAATTTAGATTTTAATTTAAATCAAAGACAATAATTAATTTTAACTACATATTTTATGAGTTTCACAGCTTTTCAACCACACATATCATCGACTTCTATAAAAATATACTAAAAAAA